AGGCTGCAGTATTTCTTCCTTAGCATCCCCTTCTACAAGGCAACTGGAAAATATTAAAAGAAAAGGGTATTAAAAGAATGTTCATCCTTTTAAAAAATAAGTTGATAGGTAACAGTTATGTAGCTAAGCCTCTTTAAATTAAAAGTCAGTAGAGTCTGTGGTTATGAATTAAAATTTGCCAAACTAAGTTAATGTTTAACAAGGTAGTAATGTATGTACATTGTTTAAAAAAGTCAAATAACACAAGAATTTTAATAAAAAACCAGCAGTCCCCTCCCACAGCCCTCCATTTACCCTGACACATCAAGTTTCAACTTTTTAAAAACAGCTACTTCGAAGATTTGCCTCCATATTTCAAAATATTTCAGAATGCATAAACGTTATTACTTGATCTATTTCACACATACTCTACTGTCTTCCTACTATGGAAATGTCTTCCTAATACTGCTAATTTTTGCTTAGTTCAGTCTTATGACTACAGTTATTATTCATACCAATGACAGCATGATTTCCTATTTTTTCTTATATAACTCTTATTTTTTCCCTAATAATTGTCTTGGGTTTCCTGTGTACCATCAGTAATTCAGCCCTTCTTCAAACTTTCCTGCAGATTTGTACACCTCCTCTCAATTGGTCAAGCATACCAGGTAACTATCAATATCACAGACATCCGTCTTAGAAACCTTGAGCCTCGCGCTCCAGTGTGGACCCCTGGCCCCCGAGGCTACCACAGAGCTGACACTCTCTCTTGTGTTACACTCTCCTGTTTCCCCGGTCCCATCTTCGTTTTTCTAGCTACACTTGCTCAATTTAGTGGGTTATACCCTCCAATTGCCTCTTAAGAACTATACATAGGAAACAAATTTCCTGAGGCCTACATAATTATTGTATTTTCAAGGTTACTGACTTTTAGAAAAGGTGTATTATTCTAGACTAGAAATAACTTTCCTTAAGAATTTTATAATTGTGATTCCTGTTCCTTTGAATGTGAGCTGTTTTTTCTCTCTCTTTTGAGCTTTTATTTTTTTTAATTCTTCATGTTCTTCAACCTCATGGTGTAACTTTTTTTAATCCATTGTATTACAATTTTTAATCCATTATATTGAGAACTTTCTGTGCAAAAATTCATGTTACTACTAGAAACTTCTTTCATAATTTCTTCTCTTCCAGTCTCCTTCCAGACTATGATTAGTTTTAGTTATAATTATTACTATGAGTATGTGACATACCTCCCGGTTTGATTCTCTAATTTCTTTATCTTCTCTCTCCTATTTTCTCTATTTGTTCATTTTCTTGGGAGATTTCCTTGACTGTCTTCTAGCCTTCTTTAATTAAAATTAAATTTTAATTTTTAAAATTTATGCTATTATATTTTTAATTTCCAAGAGCTTCTTATTTATTATGACCTGTTTCTTATTTCATGGTTGCAATATTTCCTAATTACTGAGAAAACAGACATTTGCCACCCCCCCCATCTTTTTTCTATTCTGTGTTGTCTCCATTCCATCCATTTTTTCCTGCTTATTTGGATTATGTCTTTCATGTTAGAGGCTTTGTCAAGTGTCTGATAATTCCTGGTTCTGTTCATTTTGAGAGAATGGAATATTTTAAATGACTGGGAAATGTGTATGTAAATGTAAGGGGGAGGGCTTGTGGCTTAGTGGCCATCTTACTGCTTGGTGACTGAATACAGTCCTTGCAATGTCATTGGTGGGCCACAACCATCAGTAGCTATCGATTTCCTCTCTTGGGCTGGTTAGTTTTTCAAGAGAGGGGTTCTGTCTCCCACCAGAAGTGGCTGTCAGTATTCTGGGAGCCAAATAAGGGGTGGGAGCAATCTCACTATTCAGCATGCAGATTCCTGCTTTCAGCAAGGAACTAACAACCCCACCATCAGTTGGACCTGATATACTGAACCCAGAGACTTCCAGGTTCAACCACGCCAGAGTAAATCCCTCCCTACTCTGTTCCCAGGTGTGCGTGAAGCTGTCATGTGCTCAATTTGATGGAAGGAATCTGGGGTTCTAAACACGCTTTATAGAGACATTCAAGTACTCTTCTTGTTTTCAGTCCCATCCTACACACCAGGCTTAAGGGGGACCTCCAATTTCTGGGCCTTTCTGGGGGTTCTTTGAAGATAATCATCTTGATTCTTATTGGCTTCCCTCACCTACAAGAAAGCAAGTTTTAGCTTTCTCTGTTCTAAGTCCCTTTTCACATTGGTCAGTGTGTTTTCCGCTTCCCAAAATTCTGTCGAAATCTCCTTTACTACCACCTTCTCTTCAGTTTTTTGGTTTTTAATCTTTATATATTTTTATGTTCCTCCACTATAATTTTAGGAAGTTTAGGGAGGGACCAGAGTTAAACGTGCTTAAACTGCCTATTTAACCAACAATCCTGTAAATGTTTTTAGAGCAGTAGCCTTATGTGATGTTGATATGTACATAGTAAAGAAATTATTACTCACATTTTAAAAATAGCTTTGAGGTACAGTTGATATACAAAAACCTGAACATACATTTTTTCTGATTTATTTTATTTATTTATTTATTTTTGGCCGTGTTGGGTCTTCGTTGCTGCGCGTGGGCTTTCTCTCACAAGAGTGGTTGCGGTGATCAGGACCTACTCTTCATTGCGGTGTGTGGGCTCCTCATTGCGGTAGCTTCTCTTGTTGCGGAGCACAGGCTCTAGGCACACGGGCTTCAGTAGTTGTGGCTCACGGGCTCTAGAGCACAGGCTCAGTAGTTGTGTTGCATGGGCTTAGTTGCTCTGTGACATGTGGGATCTTCCTGGACCAGGGCTCAAACCCATGTCCCCTGCATTGGCAGGCAGATTCTTAACCACTGTGCCACCAGGGAAACTCTGAATATATTTAAAAAAAAAAAAAAATATATATATATATATATATATATATATATATATATATATATTTATGGCTGCGTTGGGTCTTAAGTTGTGGCATGCAGGATCTTTTGTGGCGGTGCGTGCAGACTTCTCTCTAGTTGTGGCACGTGGGCTTCTATTTGGCGCACGGGCTCCAGAGCACGTGGGCTCTGTAGTTGCAGCATGTGGGCTCTCTAGTTGTGGTGTGCAGGCTCAGTAGTTGCAGTGTGAGGTCTTAGTTGTCCCGCAGCATGTGGGATCTTAGTTCCCTGACCAGGGATTGAACCTGCATCCCCTGCGCTGGAAGGTGGATTCTTAACCACTGGACCACCACAGAAGTCCCTGAACATATTTAATGTATACAATTTGATGAGTTTGGACATATGCATATACTGGGTTGGCCAAAAAGTGCTTTTGCTTTCCAAGTAAAAATAAAAGACACATTTTTCATTTTTACCAAGAACTTTATTGAACAACGTATTCACCCTTTTGTTCCACTACCTTTTGCCATTTTTCAGGCAATTTTATAATTCCGTCTTCCCAAAACTTTTCATTTTTTGAGCAAAGAACTGTTCCAGGTGCCTTTTACAGTCTTCCAGGGAATTGAATTGTTTTTCCATTAAGAGAATTTTGTAAAGACTGAAATAAATGGAAATCCCAAGGTGCAATGTCTGGTGAATACGATGGATGAATCAGAACTTCCCAGCCGAGCTGTAACAGTTTTTGCCTGGTCATCAAAGAAACATGCGGTCTTGTGTTATCCTGATGGGAGATTATGCATTTTCTGTTGACTAGTTCTGGACGCTTTTTGCCAAGCGCTGCTTTCAGTTGGCTTAATTGGGAGCAGTACTTGTTGGAATTAATTGTTTAGTTTTCCGGAAGGAGCTCCTAATAGAGGACTCCACATACACAACATCCAATCCCACCACATACACAACATCACCTTCTTTGGATAAAGAGCAGCCTTTGGTGTGGTTGGTGGCGGTTCATTTCGCTTGCCCCACGATCTCTTCCATTCCACATTATTGTACAGTATCCACTTTTCATCGCCCATCGTGATTTGTTTTAAAAATGGAACATTTTCATTAGAGAATCACAGGCAGAAATATGGTGAAGAAGGTTTTTCTCACTTAACTTAACTTATATGGAACCCAAACATCAAAGCGATTCACACAACCAAGCTGGTGCAAATGATTTTCAGTGCTTGATTTGTGTATTTTGAATATGTCGGCTATCTCTCACGTGGTATTAACATTGAATGTTCTCAATTAATGTCTCGATTTGATCGCTATCAACTTCAACTGGTCTACCTGACCGTGGAGCATCGTCCAGTGAGAAATCTCCAGCATGAAACTTCGCAAACCACTTTTGAAACATTCGATCAGTCACAGCACCTTCTCCATATACTGCACAAATCTTTTTTTGCATTTCAGTTGCGTTTTTACCTTTCTTGAAATAATAAAGCATAATATGCCAAAAATGTTGCTTTTTTTCTTCCATCTTCAGTATTAAAATGGCTATACAAAAATTCATCAATTTTGATAAGTCTTTTTTAAATGCACACTGATATAACAGCTGTCACAATACAATCTAACAAAATTGTTTCAAATGAAGTTAAAGATAACTAAGTGCTACTAGAACCATCTTATGGAAAAAACCAAACGAACCTTTTGGCCAGCCCAATACATCCATGATACTATCACCACACTGAAGGTAATAAACATATCCATCACCTCCAAAAGTTTCCTTGTATCCCTTTGTGGTTCTTTTTGTTACTCAAATTTAACTGATAATTACACTAACAGACTTTCCCCTTATCCTTCCTTAATCTAACGCTTGTTGAAATGAGGCTTAATAAATACACTTTTATAGTACTTTCAATATGCACAAAAATTATAAGCCCCATCACAAAGAAATATATGTTACATACTGACTTTCCACTATGGTATTGAGCATTAACATTTTCACGAGGTATTCTGATGGAAAAAAATTCCACTGATGATAATGACTTGCATCATTCTTATTGTAAATATTGTTCTTAATTTCATCTGTCCTGAGGAATGCATTTTTTACTTCTCAAAAACAAAACAAAACATTCAGGACCTACCACTTGCTAGGTATTACACCAGTACCAGAAGACAGAACAATGAACACGACAGTTTGGGTCCCAAAGGAGTAAAATAAGGCTAAAAAGGTAAGTTGGAGACATACTGTGAAGGCCCAGAATTTCACGGTAAGAAGTTTGATCTTTATAATATAGAAATATTACATTTAATTGGTGTGACAAAGTCTTAAAACGAGTAACTCTATAACTTTTGTTTCAAATTGGTGTTTTATAGAAACTCAGAAAATTATTTTCCTTATAATAAATTAGGCTGGATTCCATATGAGATGGAAAGATTATAGAGGTGAAGGAAATGACAACCAAAATATTAGAACATAACATTATAAAAACAAAAAACCTTCACTACTACCCTTTCTTCTAGAGAGTTATTACTATATAATGAACAGAGTATTGGACTAGAAGGTAACAGATGTGTGTTCTTAGTTGAACTCTGCTAGTCTATGCAGGTCAACACCTTTGAGAACTAGCTATATTAACATCCATGTGATCAAGATTACTGTAAAAATCACTGGGTTCACTATATCACTTATCACTTTGACATATCATTGACTATCTACAGAATGAATAAAGAATACATGTGATCTAAAAAAGATGAGAAAACATATATAATAGACACTATATCAATGCTAATTATTACTTTTTCACCAAATGATATCTCCTAAACACCTTACACTTTGGAGTTGAGGAAGATGATCCACTTGTGTTTAACCTTTATTTCTTGGTTTTACTATGTATTCTAATATCTATCAATAACTTTAAAAATAAATCTGAGATTAAAGGTATTTCTAAACAGTGAAAAGGAACAAAACAAGAATTAGAAAAGAAATAAAGCACAGAGAGCATAGGAAATTAGAGAAGTACAGTAAGCATGCATCGCAGTGTGTTTTGCCAAAATCTACCCTCATTTATCTTTAAAAAATGCCAATTTGGATAATTCAATTAGAACTTTAAACTTTCAGTAGTCAAATAAATCAATCTTGTCCTTTGTGATTTCCTTTATCCCTTCTATTATATCCCCCTCTACAAGTCTGTCAAACATTAAACTATATTCTGTGTTTCAATGATTTGACTTTTTATATTTAATTAATTTAACTATCTGAAGCTTACTTTGGTATGTGGTGTGATATAAAGGTCTAAATATATTTTTCCCCTAATGGTTAATAATATGACTTAATAAATAACCCTTTTTCCTTGTTTAATATATGTTAAATTAATTCATAACACGATCTATATTTCCTAGTTGCTTATTCAAGTCCATCAACTAACTGGTATGTATGTATGTGTGTGTGTATATATACACACACACACACATATATGCACACTTTTTTTTTTTTTTTTGGCCACTACATGCAGCATGCAGGATTTTAGGTCCCTGACCAGGGATTGAACTCATGCCCCCTGCACGGGGAGTGTGGAGTCTTAACCACTGGACTGCCAAGGAAGTCGCAACTGGTATATTCTTATACCACTAACAGATTATTTTTATGTTTATAATGCATTTTATTTATTTGTTTATTTATTTTGGCTGCACTGGGTCTTAGTTGCGACATGCAGGATCTTTTAGTTGTGGCATGTGGGCTCATGGTTGAGGCATGTGGACCCTTAGCTGCGGCATGCATGTGGGATCTAGTTCCCTGACCAGGAATCAAACCCAGGCCCCCTGCATGGGGAGCATGGAGTCTTACCCACTGGAGCACCAGGGAAGTCCCACTAACAGATTGTTTTAAATATAGTTTTATAATTTTTAAAAGGGTTGGTTCTCACCCATCACTACTTTCATCCTAAGTTTTCTTTGGTATTTTTGTCTCTTTATTCTTACAAGTGAACTTTAACATTATATTGGAAAGTTCAGAGAAGATTCCTTTGGTATTTTGATGAGAACTGCATCAAATTTGAAAACAACTGATATTTTAAATATCACTGAAAAAAGCTAAATTACAGTTAACTTTTCCAACCAAGAACACTTAATTTTTTTCACTAATGCAAATGAATACATTTCTACTTCAGATTCTACTTTCTACTTACGGTTATTTCCAGGTATTTATATTTTGAAAGGGATCGCTTTTAAAATTTTTTCTTCTCCTATTTTGCTGGTCTGTAGGACCACTTTCTACTTTTATTCAACCACTTTGCTCCTCTTTCTTATAAATTAGTCATTTTAAGGAAATACATTTGGTTTTAATGTAATTATTTTTTAAATCAACAAAAGGAAAATAACATTTCAAAGAAGAACCAAAGGGCTTCCCTGGTGGTACAGTGTTTAAGAATCCGCCTGCCAAGCCAGGGGACACGGGTTCGAGCCCTGGTCCAGGACGATCCCACATGCTGCGGAGCAACTAAAGCCCATGCGCCACAACTACTGAGCCCACATGCTGCAACTACTGAAGCCCATGCGCCTAGAGCCCGTGCTCCACAACAAGAGAAGCCACCGCAATAAGAAGCCAGCACATCGCAACAAAGAGTAGCCCCGGCTTGCTGCAAAAGCCTGTACACAGCAACGAAGACCCAACACTGGCAAAAATAAATAAATTTTTTAAAAAAAAACAAAACAAAAAAGTCAAGTAGAATAATAGCTGTTTTATGTATATGGATTTCTCCCATAACCCAAGTTTCTACTCGCCTTTTTCCCAGGACCCTTGGTCACCTGAATCCCACCACATCCTGTGCTTGATGAGAGTTCCCGAATGCCTCTATCTGAGCATACCTCAGCTCCTTGTTTTGATCCCAGAAATACCCTCCCCTATCCAGGATATTCTAAGTGCCACAGATGTTTAAAAGTCCAGTTCATTCTCCCAGGCAGCCCTTAAAGGAAGTAGATAGATATTCATGCATTTCTGCCAGATATAAAACTCTCTCGTTCTTGGCCTATATAATGCCACTGTTTCCTGGTTTTCCTTTATCCCTTGATTGTTCATTTCTTTTTTTTACAGCTTTCTTTTAGTTTGCTCTTCACACATTTTGGTGCTTACCCGGGTTCCCTCCTTGGTACTTTGAGATATTGTACCCAGAATCTGAAAGATCTTATTCATGCCCAAGTCTTCTACATCAGCTATATACAGAGTCCTCAGTATATTTTTACCTCCAGCCTAGATATCAAAATGTCTAAAACAGAACCACTTTCTCCAGTCCTATTCCAACTTAAGTTTGTTTGAATTGAGAGGCATTAGAAGCATCAAGTATATTGTTTTTGTCTCTGAAATATTTATAAATTAAGAAAAATTTACTAAGGCATACTTTTGTGTCTCTGTAGTAAATCTGTTGACAGTTTATAGAAATAACTAACAATGTATACTTCCAGAGTGCTGGTGTTAGTGACAAAATATCAAGAATATTATTAGTTTAACAACATATATATTGAAAAGAGAAAATGAAATCTGCTATTCAAAATCTACAATTTGATTTCTTTAAGTATTTATAAACCAGAATCATATGACTGACTACATCTAATACAACAAACATGAGCCTTCCTCTCCAGATCCGTCTCCAAAAACTCCAGTGTACTCTAAACAACTGATTAACTTGCTTACTGTAGCCATACTGAAAAAATAAAGTATACTGTTTTTATCAATCTTATGCTCTTGGGATTTTATTTTCAGTTAACAAAGTATTCTTTGTGGAACACAATAAAATTCTGCCACTTACCTCTATTTCATGAATAAGAAAGAAGATGGACTAAGCATGTAATACAAACTCACAAACATATAAAAACTTGAGCACATATCCCGAAATAAAGCCCTGACATAAGCTGAATGAACACTTTTCTGTTAATACTCATTTACTACTTTTTAGAATTATTTTTTCATTTACTGAAGAAAAATAGGAGCCAAACTTTTATTTTTTTGCAGTATGCGGGCCTCTCACTGTTGTGGCCTCCCCCGTTACAGAGCACAGGCTCCGGACGCGCAGGCCCAGTGGCGATGGCTCACGGGCCCAGCCTCTCCGCAGCATGTGGGATCTTTCCCGGACCGGGACACGAACCTATGTCCCCTGCATTGGCAGGCGGACTCTCAACCACTGCGCCACCAGGGAAGCCTGACCCAAACTTTTAAAAAGGTATATGAGAAAGGTTTAAAATTCAGAACACTCTACACTCATTTTTTTTCCTTCAAAATTAGGAAAAGGCTACCACGATTTGTAGTTGGAGGTAGATAACCATATAAATCAAAAATATTAGTGTACACCCTGAGGGCCTCTACCTTGGCTCACTCTCAAAATCCAAATTAAAAGATATCAGTGGGGCTTCCCTGGTGGCGCAGTGGTTGGGAGTCCGCCTGCCGATGCAGGGGACACGGGTTCGTGCCCCGGTCCGGGAGGATCCCACGTGCCGCGGAGTGGCTGCGCCCGCGAGCCGTGGCCGCTGAGCCTGCGCGTCCGGAGCCTGTGCTCCGCAATGGGAGAGGCCACGGCAGTGAGAGGCCCGCGTACCGCAAAAAAAAAAAAAAAAAAAAAAAAAGATATCAGTGTAGCAAAGCTGTTTCTTAATTTCCTTTAAGGTCATTAGTTTCTTTAGGCCTCTACAGAACTGATATGGGAGACAAAAAAATTAGAGAACAGTTTATAGGTTTTAACTGGCTACCTTCCACAGTAAATACCAAAATGGAAATCAAACAGGAAAGAACTGTTGAGAAGTGTTGGTGTACAGTTAACATCCTGAGCATTTAAACACTTAGACCTAAAGCCACCTATATAGGCTTTCTGATCTCCCTTAGAGAAGTATGCAAAGGCATTCCAGAGACTATAACAGCTACTACATCTTGCCTTAGTTGTTGTAAGCTTTTACTTTTGTAAAGAAGGATCTCATTAAGGTACAGCAACTCAATGCCAAGACACAACCATAGTCACCTCACCCAGCTTTATTCAACTTCTATCAAACTTTTAAGGGGAAAAAATTGGTGAATCCTATACAAAGGAAGTCCTACTTTGAAGGAAGGTGAATCAGTTTGGGCAGATCTATGCTCGAGACAAGACACAGTATAAGTAATTCTAACAGTTTTATTACTTATCTTCCACTGTGTCTCCTTTTAAAAATAATTCAGTAACTCAATCTTTTTTTTTTTTTTTTTTGCAGTACGCGGGCCTCTCACTGCTGTGGCCTCTCCCGTTGCGGAGCACAGGCTCCGGACGCGCAGGCCCAGCGGCCATGGCCCACGGGCCCAGCCGCTCCGCGGCATATGGGATCCCCCCGGACCGGGGCACAAACCCGCGTCCCCCGCATCGGCAGGCGGACTCCCAACCACTGCGCCACCAAGGAAGCCCCCACTAACTCGATCTTAACTCCACATTGTAATGGGAAAACCAACATTTAGTGAAGACCAAGTATGTGCCAGGTCCTATATGTAGCATTTTCACATACTTTATTTCATTTAATTCTTAGGACAATACTTAAACAAACAAACAAAAAAAAACCCAAGATCAAATAAATTAAGTGGCTTACTCACGACTTCAGAGCTAGTAAGTGGATGAAAAGGATTTGAAACTAAATCATTCTGACTCCATCTATATTCTTTCCATACTACCATCTAACTGACCTAGCTACCCTGAAAGAAAAGAGAGGGAAAAAGGGGGATAGGAATGTATAGTGATTTTAACTGTTATAAATGAGAGCTTGGTATGAAAGTAAGAAAATCTAGAAAGAAATAAACTCAGCTTTGCCAGTGGTATTATTAAACATCTTCACATAACCTCTTTAACAGGCATACAATTTTTGACAATCATATTACCTGTTCAGTCATTAGAAAACTGAAATAAATCTTAGGAATAGCTAAAATTTTAGTTGTACCACATACCAAAAGATGAGCTATAGTCAATTCATGGTTATGCTCACTGTTCTGGTATAGTATACTACTGAAATTTTATCTAAATTGAAAAGAATTTTTTATAGTACACCATCAAAAAAGTCAGTTGCCATACATATGCTACATACTAAACAAAAGAATGAAAAAGAAAACTTATAAAATAAAACTAAGAAATATTCAGAATTTTTTTGTTTTAGTAACAATTGAGTAAAAGATAAGTATCCTTTCAAAGAAAATGTGACGTACAATACCTGCGGGTCCTTGGTGGTTTTGGAGGGGGAGAATCTTGTTTGTCAGGATCTATGGAGCTGACCATATTTTCAGTGTTAATTTCATTCTGCCAAGGAAAAAAAATGCTTCATTAAAGTTAGGGGAAAAATAATTTTCCTTCCTCATGTTTCAAATAAATTGTTATTGGGCTTGTGAATTTTTAAAACAATGCTAATTTTGCCAAATAATAAAATAGGTGTTATGTCCTCTATATTTAAGCCCGAAAGAACAAATTCAATGAGAAAACTTAATATCAAAAAAACAGTCCATATCCAGTTACCAAGAAAATC